AATTACTCTTTTCAGATATATTTTACTCCTGAATAAGCTTTATGGAAAATAAAGTTTGTAAATTATCATATAACAATTAGGTGGTCCAATCATGTTTTTCAGAAAAGAAATACAACTTAGCAGATACAAAACAATGTAAAAAAAAAGATTGTGAATAGAATCTTTCTTAAAAACCTCAAAATTAATTTCAAAGATCACTTACCTTAAGAGATGATATAGCTAACTTCAACAGTCACTGTACTCTCTACAAGTTAAAAATATTCACTATGAAGATTGGCATTTGAAAAAATGCAAATCTACCACACAATAAAAATACAACAGAAGCCTAAAGTTTCCTCACACTTCAAGTAAAGACACTAAATTATTTATAGTCTCACATTCAGCACTGCTTTCCAGACTAACATTAAGAATAAAACCCTAACAAATTTTTAGAATTCAATTTTTCAAAAATATTTTAAAACTGAATTATCATTCTCAATTTTCCTGAGACATCACTTCATTACTAATCTTCCTTTATCAGATAAAAATACTCCAATCACTACTTTCACAAAGGAATTGAACTTTTACAGGCTAGCTGCTGAAATAGATACTCAATAGGTAGGTAATCACAACCTGCCAGAGACAGTCATCAATGACCATTTAAATTTCTGCCCCACCCCCACCCCCAATAAACAGAAAACACTAAAGTGAAACCAAGCAAACCAAAGTGCTCTGGTATATCAAAATTATTCTAAGTGCAACTATCAAAAACAAGCACTTCACTGACTTTTTCCTTACTGACTTTTTTTCATATCAACATTTGGCTCAATAAAACCACAACTCTAGAAATCAAGTGGAATTAGTCATTTGTTGCAATATTTGATACTGCTTTCTATGCATACCATAACTAAAAGTAGTTCTAGAGAAAAGTTTTAAGTCACATAAATTTCATGTGGAGAGGCCCATCTACTATAAAATAAAAGGAGAAACTGCCAATCACCTCACTGCTCACATATCAGAATCACGTAAAATAATTTTTAGAACTTATAATCCTGATGATAATTTTAAAATCAGGCGGGGAAAGTAAAAATAGGGTAAATGTACTTCGGATGCTGAAAGAAATCTGTCTACCAGACAGCACTGTAGTAACTTCTTTGAATAGCTTTTTAAATAAAAGTTAAACATTTAATTAATCTGTTCCTATATATCTAGACGGTTGTCATTAATTCATACGGATAATAGACCACTTTTGAAGTCAGAAATCAGAAGAATTTTTCCATAATTATCTTCTGGGCGAGTGGGTCAAGTTCAGCTTTAATAATGTTTTCAATTAACACAGACACCAAAATATCCAAATATTATTTTTAACTTAAAAGAAAACTAAGTTTTGTGAAGCTACCTCTTCAGTAAGTTTTATCTTCATAGCAAAACAAAAATATTGGGCAAAATTCGCTGTGCACATTTGTATGCAGTTAACATAATTCAAAGGAATAAAACTTTCAGATAGAAAATATTTTCTTAAAAAAAATATTCCCCATAATTTTCAGTGGAACATATACTTGACCATCATTCTACCTTTAAACAAAATGTTTACTAATATTTTCTGAGAAATTATTTTTATTAAGAATACCCTATTAACACTTAAGCAATTACGTAATTTTAACTAAATATTGTCCACTGCCACAATTCACATCACCAAATTCTTGGTCTTAACAGAGGCCTTGGTAGAGCTTAAATGCTTCAGTCACCTCAGACCAATAATTTAATTCTGTTTTAACACACCTGATACACTGGCCTACAATAGCTCTCAATTCCTGTCAATACTTTCCATTCTGCAAAAAAGGAGGACTCTATTTCCATCCTTGAGCAAAACCAGTTTGTTGTACCTGAAAATGCAAAAATTAATGCTTTTCGATAACCACTAACTTTCAGACAACCAAAACTACACACCATTAAAATTCTTGGGTTTCTGTCTTATTCAACAAGATGACTCAGAAAATTTAATACACTATGTAAAAAGCTAACATACCTACAATCTGAAGCTGGAGCAATCCACTCTTGCCAGCCTTTCTGGATATTAGCTGGTAAAATGTACTTGACGTTCTACAAGTCAGAGTAAAATTAACGGATACCCAGGAGATGTCAGAGAACCTGAAACCTAAAAACGATGAGTAACAATTCTGGTGTCAACAATAACACTTAAATTTCATGTGAGAACTGAAGTTTCATCTCTACAATCATCAATTGCTACACATAATACCCGGGAACCTGCACGACTTTATCATCTGGGACCAAAAACTACTCAATCTCTATTCTATTAAGTATGACAAGAGCACTGAACATAAAATGCTACAGAACTGCAAATGTCGTGCCCTATCCAATATAAATCACCCTATCGGGAGAGAAAAAGCAAACACAACGAAGATCTAATAAGAGTGCCTTATAAAGTATATTATGACACTACTAATTTCAAACTACAAACTTCTAAATGGAGTTCAAAGTTATAATTAACTTACTTTAAACATACAAACCTAGTTTTGCCCTCAAATGCGAATCATACATGCTGAAAATGATCCTGCTTGTAAAGTTACGCAAATCAGACCACAACTCACATTTTAAAAGAATCTATCAATGCAACCTAGGAAACTAAAAACAATCACTGCAAGATTCTGATGCAATATGCGTACGTGCAACACTAATTTTCATTTTAATCTGATCTATACTCTTGATATAGGGCCTAAGCCAAAATTTAATTGAAATATTCTCAATCTCAAAGCGTCTACTTTTTTGTTCTTTTATTACACCGAATTGCTGAGCTCACTAATCCACTAACAGTGTACTGTATTCTGTATTAACGGACAATAGCCCTAGGAAGAGACCACAGGGAAAGACTAAGAAACCAATCGGTGCCTTGACACTTGCAACCAGGCAAGAGTTCCGTCTAGCCGAACACACCCTAGGTTAAATACATTGAAAACAAACACAAAATATATGACCTAGAAATCTGACCAGGGTTAAATGTTATAGTCACCCAAACTACGGAAAATTTTTGCATCCGTCTACTCCCACGTTAGAAGATAGAGTGACAGAAAGGCAAAGAGGAGCAGCCGCAGAAATGGATACAGGTCAAGTCTAAGTCGAATCCATCCTCTTGATATCTCCTTTTGTTTCTGCTAACGATCTCTTTGATGATGGCTGTCATGTCTGGGAGCCGGTGGCTGAAGAAAAAGGAGGAGAGAGATGGCAGAAGCTGCTGGTGGCGGGGCTTCTTCTGCAGGATGGAAATGGCTCTGGACTTGGCGGTAGCTGATGCCCCTCGCTCTGCTGCCGCTTGGCTCTGGACCGCAGCCGGGTAATGGCTGCTGCGGCGGCTGCTGGATGGTTGCAGCGACGGGGCCTGCTTCTCCTCAGCAGCCAGAGGCCTGGCAGCGGCGGCAGCGGAATGGGGAGAAGACGAATAATCCTCGGAACGGCTGCCTCCTCCGGCGGCCTCCGGAGCCCGGGCCGGGGGGGGTGCGGCGGCGGCGGAGGGGAGGTTTAAAACCGGCCCGGGTCCCTGAATGTGCCGCCGCCGCCGCCGCCGTGTTGGAGGCAGTAGAAGGGGAGAGACCAACTCTCCGGCGTTCCCAGCCCTGGAAATGGTGACAGGCGACTCCGATCCCCTCCCTGGAGCTGCAGTCCCTGCAGCCGCCGCCGCCGCCGCTTTTCCCCCCCGCTCCAGGAGCGGGAGGTGCCGCCACCGCGCCTCAGCCGGCTCCCG